TACTGTTTTTCAGAAGTACAATTTTTAGTTATTTTCAAAAGGCATTTCACTTAGTTTCAACAATGATTCATTAACATTTAATACATTTACCAAAAAAATAAGTCTGCTTTAGTCATGATTTAGTAATATTTCAATACATGTCACAACATGTTCGAAATGCATGCATCGTTATTTAAATTCCTTTTCAACTTTTTGAAATACGTTTAGTCCTGATTCAGTAATTTTGTAAAACATTTGACCAAAATGCATTTGAAACTACGTTGAATCATGACTATAGTGCTTCAAATATATTGAAATGTAGAATGCATTTGAAAAAATCAATTAACTAAATCATTATCGTAATTCAAATTAATGAGTCATGATTTAAATTACTTGAAAATGATTTTTAGGTTTACTAAAACATGACTGAAATACATTTCAAATTTAATCAATATTAAAATGTTATGGAACGAAGACTACACTCTAATTTACTCCCTCTGTTCCAAAATAAGTGTCATGGTTTTAGCTTAAATTTGAACTAAAACCACGAAAAAATTTATGAACGGAGGGAGTATTTCAATGCATCATTTCGAATTTATAGAATCACGCTGAAATAAAATTTAAAGGAATGCGAAATGTTGAAATGCACTTGAAAATTTTCGGAATTGTACTTAAATAGTGCTAAATCACTACCGGACTCGCACCCTAAGCCGACGGCCCCGGGTCGTCGGCATAGGCCATTTGCCGTCGGCTTAGGTCTATGCTGACGGCAGCCGTCGGCATATCCCCATCGGCATAGATTACGTAAACGTAGTCTTGTCAGACCGTCGACATAGAAAAGCCGTTGGCATAGGGGCCTATGCCGATGGTGACCGTACGGCCGTAGGCATATCATCACTGTCGGCAGTGATTTTCACTTGACGGCAACGGACGGCATCGTCAAACACGTTGACAAGCCACGGGCTGCCACGTGGCAGGAGTATGCCGACGGCCAAGCCGTCGGCATAGATCACTTGGCCGTCGGCATACCTCTGCCACGTGTCATCCTCTGGGAGCTCACGGCGACAGGGCTATGCCTACGGCCAAGCCGTCGGCATAGACCTGCCATGTGGCAGCCACTGGGCTGTCCTGGGCATAGATATGCCGATGGCATAGTTCTGTGTTTTTTTATTTTCTCTGTTTTTGCTTTTTCAATTCATTTTGACAGCATTTCAAACCAAAAAATATGGGATTATGCAGAAATACGACAGTTCATCATCTAAACATACTCAAGTTCATCATCTAAAGATCATCATCATCATTTAAACATACTCAGGTTCATCATCTAAAGATCATCATGGGCGGAACTTCATGAACATAAGTATTGCAAGACATGGAACATCATCATCGTCATCTAAAGAAACTAACAAGTAGGAACATGAAAGATATGGCACGACGGCCACATGCACGGGTATCATCATCGACATCAGGCAAGACCCCCGCCACCAAAACCACCACCGCCAAGACCACCACTGCCAAAAGCACCACCGCCAAAACCACCACCGCTAAGACCACCTCCGCCAAAACTGCCACTGCCAAGACCAGGACCACTCTGCCAGATCGGAGTGACTGGGGTCGACGAAGCAGGAGTCAAGCCATCGGTCCCCTACGTGTTTGAGAGAAGATTCTAACGGTAAATATGATATGATAG